AGTACTTTTTCAGTTTTTTCTTCTTCCTTCTAGTATAATAGGTCGTTAAAGCCTGTTTCTTCTTCGATATTATATATATTATATATAATGGCTATACACATTTCTTAAGTGGATCAGTCTTTATTTTGTTTTATCTTATCTTCTTGACAATATTTCTCCATTTTTTCCTGTCTCTAGTTTCTTCCCTCTCCATTCACTGACTCCTGCCCTTTGGAGGTCCATCTTCAACTTCATTGCAGTCACTTTGATCTCGGTCTTCCCCTTCTCTTTCTTCCTCCTGGATTCCATTCTATCATTGCGTATGTCACTGCCTCATCGCCTGCTCGCCAAATGTGACCTAACCATCTAACTCTGCATTGCTTTATTTTAGTTTACGATGTCTTCCTTAAGTTCTTCCTTAATTTTCTGCATTTGTTGTGCTTCTATATTCATTTTGCTCTGTTCTGGATTAGTCCATAGTATGGTTTCTCATAAATCTTTCTCTCTGCAATTCTTAAGTTCTTCCTTATCTTTTTTAACCATCGTCATTGTTTCCCCTGCATATAATATTGGACTAATTATGGTGTTATAAATGCTTCATCTTGCATTTTTTTAGTAAGTGTTTTTGCTTTTAAGTAATCTTTTGTTTGCAAAATAAGCTTTATTCGCTGCTAATATTTTTCTTTTATTTCGGATTTCCTTCTCTCCGGATTTACTTATTGTAACTCCTAGGTATTTGAAGTATTCTACTTCTTCAAATCGGAACTTCCTATTTTGATTTTTTCGTTCATTGGTTTTTTCCCTAATCTAAATATTTTTGTCTTTTCTTGATTTAATCTTAGCCCCATTACCTCCCCTTTCTCTCATATTTCTTCAAGCATTTCTTTCATTATTTTTCCTGTTCTTTGCAAATAATAGCAATATCGTCTGCATATGGAATTATTTTGATCACCCCTTGTTCTGAGATTTTCCTTTATTTATATTTCGCAGTACATATTCTAATGCTAGATTAAATAGCGTTGTTTGATAAGGCATCTCCTTTGTTTCATCCCTTTATTTATACTGAATTTCTCCTGTCTCTCCTCTTTGTGTCTTTATGCTTATTTTTGTAGTTCTCATTGTCATTTCATTAATTTTTCTGAGTTTAATGTGGAATTTTTAATTTTTAAGTGCTGTCATTAATACGTTCCTTTTAATTGAATCAAATGCCTGTTTTCAAGTCTATGAATAACATTTCCAATTCTAATTTTATACTCGTTTGCTTTTTCCATTATTTGTTTTATTGTGTGTATTGCATCTATTGTAGATCTTCCTTCTGTGAATCCACATTGGTACTGTCCTACTGTCTTCTTTGTGATCTTTGATAACCTCTTTTTTATTATTGATGTCCAATATTTTATATGTTGTATTTAGTAATGTTATTCCTCTATAATTTTCACAGATTTGTTGGTCCTCCCTTTTTATGTACTGTTATGATCTGTCGTACCTCCCAGTCACCTGGCATTTTCTCTTCTTTCCATATTATTTTTCAATAGTGCCAGTATTTTTCCTCCTTAGTTTCCCTCCCCCGTATTTTATTAGTTCCATATTAATTCCATCTTTACCTGGGGGCTTTTCCATTTTTGCTTCTCTGTATTACTTCATCCAATTTCCTCTAATGTTTGGTCTTTTGAAATTTCGATGTCTACTTCATTTGCTTTTTCTTCGTGTACTGTTTCCTCCTCGTCATGCATTTCTTCTTTCTGTTTTTCCTCCGTCAAGAGCGTCTCTGTAGTTATCTCCATACTTGCTTGTATTCTTGGTCCTCTATTATCACTATTCCCTCTCTATTTTTTTATTCCGTTTTGTTTTGCCCCTGTATTTTTTGTTTTGTTTTTTAATCTTTTGTAAAAACTTTTCGTATTTCTGTTTGTTCTTTCTTGCTCTATTTCCTGCATTTTTTTGTCTACCCATCTTCTTTTATTTTGCCTTATCACTTTCTTAGCATTCCTTCTTAATTTTTCATATTCTTCTCATGTCTTCCTCTTTCTCTGTTCTTATCCATTTATTTTTGGCTTGCACTTTTTTTCCTGTTATTTTCTCTACATTCTCGGTTATACCATTCGTTTTTAGCCTGACTTTTACCTATCTGCATATTTGCACCTTCTTCTATTGATTTTTTGATCGTCTCCCATTCTGTGCTTGTATCTTCTTTATTGTACCCAGATATTTGTATTTTTAAATTTTTTAAATTTGTTCTCCATGTTTTGTTATGTTTTCTTGGCTCTTGCTGTTGGGCTTTTGTAATTACCATAAATTGTGTCTTTTTTGTGTTTAGGGGCAGTTTATTTGCTTCACTGACTTCTACCACTCTGTCAACTATTTTCTGTAAATCCTCAAGACATTCCGCAAATAAAATAGTGTCCTCGACAAACTGTATATTATTGATTGGTCCGCCATTGACTTTTATTCACATAGTTAGTTCTTTTAGTGCTTAATGGATTATTTCCTCTGAATACAAATTTTAATCTAACTAGGAGACAGGACACAGCCCTGCCTGACGCCCCTCTCAATCTGTATTTCATTTGAAAAGACGTTGTTATTTTTTGTCACAGCGATCTGATTATAATAGATAGCGCTAATGATCCTAATGTCTCTCATATCTAAGGTTTTCTTTTAAAGTAATTTGATAAGACGGTTATGTTTGACCTTATCGAAGGCTTTGTTGTAATCCAAGAAACACATATATACTGGCTGATTAAAATCCATGCACCTTTGCACAAGTACATTCACTGCGAACAGGGCTCTCCTCGTTCCCAGTGCATTTCTAAATCCAAATTGTGTGTCACTTATGTCCTTCTCAAGTTTGTTCGGCATTCTCCGGTGTATAATTTTAAAAATATTTTGAGCGTATGACTCATTAAACTTATTATCCGGTGGTCTTCGCATTCTTTTGCATTTGGTTTTTTTGATAGTGTTATGAATGTTGACATCAGCCAGTCTCTGGGAATGATTTCTGTACTGTATATTGTATTGAATAAGTCGACCAATATTCCAATTTGCTGTTTTTCTATTAACCGTATTATGTCTACAGGTATTTTGTCAGGACCTGTTGCCTCGTTGTTCTTTGTTCGCTTTATAGCCTCTAATACATCATCTTCTGTTATGTTTGGGCCATTTTATAACTTTTCCTGCTCTAGCACTATTTCAGTCTGTTCGTCTTTAAATAGCTCTTAAATATATTCGTGCCATCTTTTAAGCCTTTCTTTTAAGCCAACTTTTTACGTTATCGTGTTTCTCTACCAACTGTTTAATCTCTTCGCATCTGTCACTATACCATCCTTCCTTTGCACCTATAATCTTTCTCCTTATTTCTGTGTGTATATTATTAAACATGTTTTTGTCTTAGGTTTTATAAGATATCCTTCAATGTGATCCAGAATGTCATCGGTCATCCATTCATTTTTGTTTTTGATCAGCTTAGATGTTAGTGCGCACATGTGCGTATAAGAGCATCTTTTAACATATGTCATTTTCTGTTTGCATCTTCAATAGGAATCAGTTCTATTTTGGTGAGCTATTCTTTAATTTTTAGTTTGACTGTTCTTTTGTTGATGGGTCTCTCAACGGGATAACTTGTATCCTCTCAACTTTAGTTTTAGCCAAAAGCTTTTTTAGATTAATTCTAAACCTTCCTACAACTGGGTTTGATTTTATGGAATGATTTTAGGTTTTGACTGACTTGCTATTGCTGGTATTTTCTTATTAATAACTTCCTCTTTCAATATTGTCGTCTACTTTAAAATGCATAATGTATGTCTGAATTGTCAATATAAATGAGTCAGATAAAATTAAATTATTAGAAGAATTTTTCACTGTGTAAAAAAAACAAAAATTTTTTTAATTTACTGTTTGTAGTTTTGAGAACGATTTCCGAAGTGGAAATTGAAACGTCAATAAACGTATTTTTATCTTTAATTGTGGCTTATTCCCAGTTAAATAGAAATTATTTTAAAATGCCACAGGAAAATAGCTTCAGAATAAATAACGTACACGTATACGAGTTTTACCAAGGGTACCTTTGTCGTATAAAATTGAATGATGTATAAGTTTACTTGAAATTTTGATTAATAATTATACTCTTAAAAAAGCTTTCAAAACATAGTCGTATAAAATTTTATTAAAAATGTTGCCAGTTAGTTTCGACAAAATCGTAAAAAATGCGTAAATTTTTTTTCTTCAACGCCCTGTATCTTGAAAACGGATGGCGTTACAAAAATTTTTTTACTTAGCAAACCCCAATTATTTTTCAGTTTTTTACACTACCTTAGAGATGGGGTCACCTTTTTTTGAAACACCCTGTATGTGTTTAGATATTTTCTATTGGTCGTCTGTTTCTCTTATATAGTTAATATGTTCACATCACAAATGAATCCCTTAACTTGTAATCACACATTATTTTTAACTTCTTAACTTTTATAGTTTTATCGTGTTTTATTGAAACATTTTGAAAACCTATTGCGTAATATTTTAATAATTAGAGTCCGTTCACCTGCATATTTGCAACTTAATAAATTGCAAATAATATTTTTCTAATTGAACTTCCTGTGTTGCAATAATTAAATTGTACTGTAAACTCATAGTTTAAAGTTTGTTAGTATGATAGACGGATTAACCTCTGTGCTGAGGTATACATTATTTGTGAAATTATAAATCGGAGATTTGAGCTCATTTCAGCGCAGTCTATTATAGAAAGTTACCTAACCAACAACTAGAGTGTAATTACTAGTAGCTGTCCATAAAACTATAATGTCTACTTCACGACTTCACAACACTTTATTGTGTTACCATCGTCGATTAAAAGGCATTAGAAAACAATTCGATCCTTATAACTACAATCGAATCTGTCCATTCACCCAATAAACTTGGAATACAAAACAACATCAAATAAAACTGAGCTGTGCTATCAATAATTTTCAAAAAGAGTATAAAAAAATATGAATAAAAACTATATTATGGCTACATTATAAAATAAGTCATACCTCTATAATTTCCACAGCGTAAATAAATGGTTTTAGCAAAAATATTGTCAACAATTACTTTGATACTCGGACCATAAGCCACGCCCATTTTAATTTTATCGTTATATTCAGGTTTCATTGCGAGTAAAATGAAGATACAAGTGTTACCTTGAGAATGTCCAATAAGGAAAGGTTTTTGTTTTGTTTTCTTTAGTACGAAGTCTATGTTTGTAGCCAGATCATGGATAGCTATTTCATGAAACCTAAAAATATATTAAAGCATACTATTATATTGGTTATGTTTGATAATATTTCTTCTGTAAATTACGATTAGGTAGATCCAATAATTAAATCGCAGAAACAATCAAGTTACTTAATGAAGAAAACCTAGACATTATTGTCAAGCTCTTTAACGACATCTACGTTATGGGCCAGATTCCAAAATATTCAGATCCAAAGATCCAAAGAAAACCACGTGCGAACTTCTGCAAGGACCACCGACTAATAAGCCTAATGAGTCACTTTTTAAAACTTTTCCTGAGAATACTTCACACTAGATTGTTCAAGAAATGTGAAGGGGTCAGAGTGGATGGAGTCAGTTTGGTTTCAAAAATGGACTTGGCACGAGAGAAGCGATCTTTAGTATGCAAACATTAATACAGAATTGTTTAGATCAAAGAAAGGATGTTTTTGTCTGTTGCATCGATTACGAGAAAGCATTCGATAATGTAAAACACGAACTGATGATAAAATACCTACAAGAGTTGGGATTGGATGCCAAGGATATAAGAATTATCGTCAATCTGTATTGGAAACCAGACAGCAACAGTACGTCTTCAAAATTTCAACGAAACAGAAGATTTCTCCATTAAAAAAGGAGCAAGGCAAGGTTGTATACTGTCTCCAATGCTGTTCAATTTATACGTAGAAAAAGTCTTTGTAGAAGCAGTGGCAGACTCTAATAAGGGTATTAAAGTTAACGGCATATTTATTAATAACATCAGGTATGCCGATGATACAGCCATAGTGGCAGATAACATCGAAGAGCTTTAATGCCTTTTAAATGATCTAACTCTTGCAAGTGAAGCACGGGGTTTGAAAATAAATATCAAGAAGACAAAAACAATGATTATCTTAGAAGTAGAAATGATTACCCCAACGCAAAGATATATGTCTCTGGAGAAGAAATCGAACAGGTAAGGCAATTCAAATACTTGGGTTGTTTGCCGAACGAGGGTTGAACCCCGAGAATGAAATAAAGAGCAGAGTTGAACAAGCCAGAAATGCTTTTGTGAGGCTTCGTAAGTTTCTGACTGATCGCAAATTGGACTTCAACCTCCGATACAAGATGCTTAGTGTTACGTGTGGCCTGTTCTCCTGTACGGAATGGAAGCATGGACGTTAAAGGCCAGTTCCATTAACAAACTTGAAGTGTTTGAAATGTGGTGCCTGCGTCGAATGCTTAGAATATCATGGACATACAGGGTCAGAAATGAGGAAGTACTCAGAAGAGCGGGCTTACAGGATAGGGAACTTTTTAGTTATGTAAAAAGTAAGAAGGACTACATACTTGGGGTATATGTTACGAGGAGGAAGATACACTTTTCAGCAACTGATACTCGAAGGGAAGATAGAGGGTAGGAGAGGTCTGGGACGTAAAAAAATGGCTGCGCAATATTCGACAATGGACAGGAATTTACAGCTATGAAATGCTTCGAAATGCTGCTAAAAACAGAATTTTTTAATCCTGAATATCTACCATCTCATCTGATAAGGCGATGTACGGTGGACACCTACGCAGAAATGCACGGCACCTTAAGAAGAAGAAGAGTAATTAAATTTTACATTGTATTATCTATTTAGAATAAAAAGACGAATCCTCGTAAATAAAACAAACAGACTACGGTCCGACGTTGATGCTGGTGAACGGAAAATAAATGTTGGAGATGTTCAGATGGGTAGGATGAAGAAAGTTTTTTGGTCAATATCCAAAGACCATGACAGAAGCCGATCAATACTTGGCCCAGACAAGATATGGGACGGAAACGCTTAATCAATACTCGATCGCAGTGGGAAAGATCGATTATTACTCAGAGACCTGGGTAGAAGTTCATACCAGATCAATACTCGAGAACTCGGTCCTTGTCATTGCTTATGGCGTTTTATACTTTTGGTCGCTATTTAATCTCCTTCTTCTTCTAGAGATGTTGGCGACTCACGTTGACCCATCCTATTCTATTCACAGCAGCTAGAAATAAATTATTTGACATTAGACCAGTGCACTTCCAAAGATAATAGGCCGAAGTAAGCCAATTTTCTGTTCTTTACGGTGTTAATAACTTCTTTGTCTTTTCTTAGCCTCTGGATAATAGTTATATTACTTGTGTGGTGTTTATATGAGACCCTCAACATACGTCGGTAGCACCACATTTTAAATGCCTCTAATCGTTTTATGGCATATTTTGTAAGGCTCCAGTTTTCTATTCAATAGAGAAGGACATTAAAGACGTAACATCTAAGAATTCTTATGCGTTTATTGATACTTAAAGATGGGTTGCAGAGAATCTTCCTAAGGATGTTAAAAGAGCTTCTGGCTTATTTAATACGAGTTTTTATTTCGTAGGTGTGATTCCAAGTATCATTAATATTGCAGCCCAAATAGCAAATTTTTTCTACTCTTTCTAACGCTCTATCGTCTATTTTAATTTCCGCGTTTATGTTGGTGTTCTTACTAATGATCACTATTTTTGTCTTCTTGCAATTTAGTTTTAGGCCGTATTTATTATATGTTTCTACAACGTTATCCATCATCCTTCGGAGTCACTGCGCACTATCTGCCAGCAACACTGTATCGTTTGCATATCTAATATTGTTTAACATTGTATTTATAGTTGGCCATTAACAGCAATTCCATTTTCTGATTCTTCCAAGGCCTCTCTAAAGATATTTTCAGAGTATATGTTAAATAATGCCGGTGACAATATGCAACCATGTCTAACTCCTGTTTCAACTGTGAAGATCTCGGACAGTTCATTTTCTAATCGCACTGTTGCCTTTTGTTGGAGATATAAGTTTGAGATCCGTCTTATATCCTTACCATCAAGTCCTGATGTTTTTAAGATATCGATTAGTTTTTCATGTAAGACTTTATCAACTGCCTTTTCAAAATAAATGAAAAATGCATACACATCGTACTTGATATCCCTGGCTGTCTGTATTAGCACTTGCAAACTAAAAAGTCCTTCTCTCGTTTCGAGTCCTGCTCTGAGTCCAAATTAAACTTCATTCAGGTGTTCTTTTAATTTGGTGTATATGCGCGAGTGAAGGAGTACTTTAAGTACATGGCTCATAAAACTAATTAATCTATGTTCTTCACATTTTCGAGCGTTGGTTTTTTTCTTCTTCTTCAGATGCAAATCCATTAATGGATTGTTAGCGATCACATTTCCATTAATTCTCTATTTCTTGCAATATGTATCGAGATTGTATGTCGTTAATCCCTGTCCATTGCCTTATGTTTCGGAGCCAGGCCATTTTCTTGCGTCCCATTCCTCTCTTGCCTTCAATTTTACCCTCGATTATAAGTTGGAGGAACTGGTATTTTTTATTTTCACATGATGTGACCTAGATACGCCGTTTTTCTCATCTTGGTGGTTTCGAAGAGTTGGGCGTTCTTGGTTTATTCTTTTAAGGGACATCTATATTTGTGATTTTCGCTGTCCATGGTATTTTTTAGGATACGGCGATAGAGCCACATTTCGAAAGCTTCTAATCTGTTTTATATCCCTCGTTTTGAGTGTCCAGCCTTCTACGCCATATAGAAGCACTGACCACACGTAGCACTTAGTAAACCTTAGTCTCAGTTAAAGATCGAACTCTGAACAAGTCAGTACCTTCTTGAATTTTACGAAAGCTTGTCAAGATTGCTCAATGCGACATTTTACTTCCCTGTCCCATACCCAGTCTTTAAAAAGCCATCATCCCAGATTATTTAAATTTACTCACTCTTTCAATGGAATTAGTATTCAGTGTTATGGTGTAGTTTTCAAGTGCATCCAAGTTTCTGGAGATGATCATAAATTTGGTTTTTTTTGGTATTAAACTCTAATCCCATTCGCTTACTGTATTCTCCGATTATAGTGACAAGTTGTTGAAGATCGACTATGATGTCACAAATTAAGACACCATCATCAGCATATCGTATGTTGTTGATCAATACTCCTTTCACTTTGATTCCCATCTTTGCATCCTCCAAAGACTCTTGAAATATCGCTTCCGAATAAATGTTAAATAAAAGAGGGGAGAGCACACATCCCTGTCGAACGCCCCTTCTTATATGTATAGGTTTGGATATAGAATTGCCTATTTTTAACTGTGCTGTTTGATGCCAGTACAAGTTTTTAATGCATCTTATGTCTTTTTGGTCTATATCAACTTTCTTGAGGATCTGCATTAACTTGTGGTATTGGACACGATCAACCGCTTTTTGATAATCCCAAAAAGCATAGGAACACATCCTTCTTCTGATCATAACAATTTTGGACCAGCACCTGTGTTGCTACTATTGCTTCTCCTATTCCTAAACTTGCCTAAATCCGAACTGGTAGTGAGCTGATGTCCTATTCACATTTTTTGTGTAATCTTTGATGTGGTATTTTTAAGGAATATCTTTAAAGTGTGACTCATCAGGCTATTGAGTCTGTGATCCTCACATGTTTTTGTATTGACTTTCTTGGGCAGGGGAATAAAGGTAGAGCGTAACCACAATTGAGGATAGCAGCCAGTTTCATAAATTAAGTTAAATATTTTGTGTAGTGCTGAAATTTCCCTTTCATCCAGTAATTTAACTATTTCTGACGGGATTTTATCTGGTCCAGGTTGCTTATTGTTTTTTTAAATTTAATATTGTCTTTTCTATCTCCTCTTTGGCGATTGAAGGGCCAGTCAGCTGGTCGTCTGTATAAACTTCACTCATGGGTCTTTCCGTCATGGAAGAGCTCCTGGATATAATTTTTCCCATATATCAATTTTCTCCTTTTCACCCATCACTATCTGGTTATCCTGATTAACTATGGTAGTTAGTCTTCGTTTTCTGTATATTCCAGCAGTCTCCTTAAGCTTTTTATGTAGCTTACGGTCGTCGTGCTGTCGTTATAAATGTTTTAGATCGATACATCGTTGCTTAAGCCATTCATTTTATGCTATACTTATTTTTGCTTTTATTTACCTGTTAATGTTTTCATACATATTGCTGCATCTTGGTTATTCTTGTGTCTTCGTCGTTCTTCCATTAGTAATAGTATTTCTTCTGTCATCCATTTTTGCCTCTTGTTATTTCGTTTGTACCCTAAGTTGTTTTTCATGATGTCTGTTACAGCACTTGTAATCGTATTCCATGTTGGTGTTAGATCTTCGGCAATGATTGTCGTCAATATTTGAATTTGTGCGTTTATTTCATTGCTTATTTCTGCTTGTATCATTGGGTCTTTCAGTTAGTCCAGTGCTATCTGTTGTTGAGTTTCAGGCTTGTTCTTGCATGAAAAAGCGATCTTTATGACGGCCACTAATAGTACGTGGTCAGAAGGGACATCTGTTCCAGGAGATGTGCAAGCTCTTTTTACAGTTGTGCTGAATCTACCGTTGATAAGAATGAAGTCTATGTGATTTCTTATTATGTTCTGAGCTCTTTCGGCTGGAGATTTCCAAGTATAAAGGCGACGGGAGTGGAGTTGGAACCATGTGTTGGTAACTCTCATGTTTTCTTCTTGACAAAATTGTATAAGTCGGTCGCCTCTTTCGTTCCTTGTTCCAAGACCATAGGGTCCAACTACGTCTTCATTGGTTTTTTTAGGAAGTGAAATGAATATTGATAGTTGCCAGTCATTTGGTAAATAACCAGTCTCGTAGATGTTGTTGAATAGCTTCATAAGAGCCATGATTTGGTGTGCGTCTAATAGCTTTAAAAATTTCACCATGCACCTCATCAGGTCCTGGTGATTTCCCATATTTAATCAGCTTAATGGCCATACTTACTTCTTCGTTTGTTATTTCTGGGCCGTATAGATTGTTTTATATCAGTCGGACTTTATATAAGCTTTTCTTCGAATAATTTTTTCCTACATTCTTTCCATCTTCGAAATTTATCTTCAACGGTAGTCAAAATCTGGCCTTCTGGTCATCCTTTTTCTTATTTTCAAAACATATATTCTCTTTATACATCAAAATTAAGTAGTAATATTTTGAAGAAGTTAAAATTTGTTTGAACCTAAAAGTTCATACTAAAAACTGCTATTAATAATAAGAGAAAAGTAATAATCTTTAAAAAATATACTTATAGCATAAAGTTTCATTTTTTACGTTTTTACACCGCAATTTTAGCCTCCCACCCGATTTCCCTACCCAAAAAAACGGGATTTTTCGTTGCAATTTAATTTAGAATTTTGTCTAAATTTGTCTAAAACTCTTTTTTGTCTATTTTTGATAGATCTGTAGGTTAAATGTACTTAACCTAAAAATGCATTTTTTAAAGAGCCCATAACTTTTATTGGAGATGACTTCAGGTCTAATTTTTCATTTATTTTGTGTATTTGATCAAAAACTATATTTCGAGTTTTTTAAATTTTTTTATCAGATACGCCATCCCAAAAACCCGAAAAACTGTTTTTAAGTAATTTAAAAAAAAAACATGTATTTGAGAATTTGAAACCTACTATAAACGTTCTTGTTTATTGTTAATGTTTGTATACATTATTATTGTTTGGACATAACAATATCAAAACATAAAAAAGACTAGAACAAATAGACTTTTGGAAAATAGATAACCTAATAAAAAAAAAAACAGATTTCTACTTTACTTACGAGAATTTCCAATACTGTCGATCTTTGTTTATATCGTAGAACTTATGTCTTTGAGATTTCCAACATCCCCTACTGTTTAATAGCCAGACATCGTAACCACTATCTGCCAGTACGTAGGCTAATGCTTTTCCTGGGCCCTGGAGTAGAAACATATCTATGCTTGCACCCAAGCCATGTATCAATAAAACTGGGCTTCGGTTCGTATTGTTAGTTGAACTTTTACCATATGGTATTCTAAAGATGGTTAGATAGTAGCGGTCCTTCGTTCTTACTTGATATTGCTCCAAGGGATATCCATCGTATGCAACTTTTTGTTCCTAGATTTAAAATTTAATATCATTAAATCAACATGTATCCTTCTATTGTGTACAGCATTTAAGCAAACTGGATTAAACACACACCTCATTTTTTTACCTAACAATAAAAAAAATATTTATTGAAAATTACTTAAGGAACTATTACCCTCTAGAACGCGTAAAATAATGGCATATTTTCAATATTTTTTATCTTATCTATTATATATTGTAAAGGGGTTGGATTGGGGCAACTACAAAAAAATGAAAACAAAGGGGTTACTGACATAAGTCTCTTGGAACGAACAAAACAAAAGGGAGCACCTCTAGCAATTTAAAAAGAACGCCGTTTCGAGTCAAAATATAATAGCTAGTTGTAACTATCGAAATAATTATTAAAAATGAAAAACAGATCTTTATACACGAAACTCAAATAAAAGGGGTTAGAGAGTTAAATAAACCAAACTGTTTAGCATGTGTAGCAAATAAAAAATTATACTTTTAAATAATAAAGCAATTCTTCTTCTTAACGTGCCCTATCAAGTCCCGTTGACGTTGGCGATTAACATGGCGAAACTGTCTCTGTCTCCGAGCTATTATAAAAAATATGCTCAGCTTTTCTTATTCCTGTCCACTCCCTGATATTCTTCAACCAAGAGGCCTGCTTTCTACCAATTCCTCTGCGTCCTTCGATTTTACCCATCATAATAAGTTGAAGAATATTATATCGGTCTTCCCTTACTACGTGTCCAAAATAGGCCATCTTTCTACATTTGATGTTATCAAGCAGCTCGCGAGCAGCATTTGCTCTATCAAGGACTGCCACATTTGTCAGCATAGCCGTCCATGGAATTTTTAGTATACGTCTGTGTTTAGTAATCGTCGCAGACATGCTCGACAACTTTAAGAAGCTGGGATGTAACATGAGCATTAAAGGTTATTTCCTCCATTCACATCTAGACTACTTCCCTGCAAACATTGGTGATGTAAGTAAAGAGTATGGTGAAAGATTCCACCAAGATATCAAGGAAATGGAAAGAAGGTATCAAGGAAGATGGAACGTTAACATGATAGCGGACTACTACTGGATGCTAAAACGAGATGACTCTCAACGAGTACACAACCGGAAAAGCAATAAAAGAAGCTTCGACGGAAAGCAAAAGCGTTACTATAAGAGAAATGTAAATGTACTAGATATGTAGTTTATAACATGTATTATACATAAAATAAAATCCTTTAACTTAAGAAAAAATTTGAAAACTTGCTAAAATTTTGTTATTATACCAAAAAGTAATTCCTTTTTTGCGAGAAAACCTTACGTGATAGAAAAAAATGGATTGCATTTTTGCAATCAGCGCTGAAAAATACATAAAAATCAGTTATGAAATTCCAAACAATTTAAAAAATATTTTTTTTGTAAACTTGTGTTATTAATGAGCCGAATCAAATAGTGGAGAGATATGCGGAGAATTTTGCTGAGAAATTAAATATAGGCAACCAAGAAGTGACTGACAGAAATGACCACAGTGGAGACGTAAACGATAAGAGGGAGAAAAATAATATACCAACAGAAGAAGAAGTTGCCAAGGCAATAAAAAGGTTAAAAAAACAAACAAATCCCCCTGGAGAAGATAGTACACCCCCTGAGTTGTTCAAGTATGGAGCAAACGCCCTAATAAAATATATAATAAAACTTGTTGCATCCATTTGGAGAGAAGGAAACCTCCCAGACAGTTGGAATGTAGGTATTATAATACGTATTCACAAGAAAGGGGATCCACTAATATGTGACAACTATCGAAGCATTAGCCTTCTAAATACGGCTTACAAAGTACTGGCTTATATACTTTAAGATCGTTTACATTATACTGAAAAAAATAGACAAATACCAATGTGGATTCTGAAAAGAAAGGTTAACAATTGATCAGATTTTCCTTCTCAGACAAACCTTAGAAAAGACATATGAATATGGAATTGATACCCATCATATCTTCATGGATTTTAAAAGTGCTTATGACAGTGTAGACAGAAGCGCCCTTTATAAGGCCACGGCAGAATTAGATATTCCGTCGCACCTAATAACATTGGTAAAGGCAACTCTTTCGAAAGTTGAGTGTAAAGTCAAGGTACAAAACAAAGTTTCAAGGTCTTTTCAAACACATACTAGACTACGCCAGGGAGACAGTCTATCATGTCTATTGTTTAACATCGCGCTAGAAAGAGCCATAGAGAAATCGGGCATAACAACCAGAGGTACGATCATCAATAGAAGTGTACAGATATTGGCCTACGCAAATGACATTGACATAGTAACACAGATAAAACGAGATTTGACACAGGCTTTTGAAACATTAGAAAAAGCCGCGAAGACAATGGGACTGCAGGTTAACAGAAGCACACACATTCAAAGGGGTCTCCGAGTTTATATATCTTGGAACACAACTAAATAACAGCAACCTAGTAAGCGTAGAAATTAAGAGAAGAATATATCTGGCGAACAGAGCTTACTTTGGACTAAAGCAGTTCCTAGCATCACACATAATTAGCAGAAAAACCAAGATACTAATATATGAAACTCTTATTAAACCTGTCCTGGCATACGCGTCGGAGACATGGAGTCTGGTAAAAAGCGACGAAGAACTGTTGGGCCGCTTTGAAAGACACATACGGGGGAGTACACGAAAGCGGGATATGACGCAGGCGCTACAATTTTGAGTTGTATCAATGCTATGAAAAATGCAACATCGTTCGGTCTATTAAAATTAATAGACCAAGGTGGCTAGGACACCTTGAAAGAATGGACACTGGAGACCCCCAAAGACAGATATTCTATCAAGAGTCAGTAGGAACTAGGAAGAGAGGCAAGCCAAGATCTAGGTTTAAAACTCAAGTCGACGATTACTTGAGGAATCTAGGGGTAAAATTGGAAAGTCAGGGCGAAAGAATGACGATTAATTCTTGAACATGCCAAGACCCTCCCAGGGTTGTAGAGCCAAAGATGATGATAGAGAAAGAGTTTAAAAAAACAACTAAAAAATAACAGTAGGTACTTACAAAATTTAGATCGGCATAAGGATACGCTTTTAGTTTCCAAGACGTAACTGTTGCTAATAGAAATGATATCCATAATGCTATATAAAAAGTCGTCATATGCTACTACAAAAATATTCTGCAATAAAAAATAAAAAACTTTGTCTAGGAAACTATGAATATTTCAAGTCGCACTTATATTATTGACTAATAATTGCCTTATTAGCGAACATTGGTTATTTTTATGTTTTACACGGTATCAGTCAGTTATGAAACAACGTTTTTTCATTAAACTTGATTGTAATTTAACAGTATAGGGCGTCATCAGATAAACTTAATTATGTGCTTGACATTATTGGCTTCGGAGGCTATGTTTTTTCGATATCTTACTTTTATTGGCATAATTTAGGTAAACTTAAATTATATTTTTCCAAAGTGCCTGCGACACTGTACCGGGTGGTCCAATAAGCCGATCTCTCGGCTATATTATATCAGAAACTATTCATGTTATTACTTGAAAAGAAAAAATTTCTTAGTGAAAGTGGCCAAGAGAAATCGCTGGAAATAACTTTCAAGTTTCTGGGTTAACCGATAGGGGGCGTAACCTGTGAAAACTTTGAAAACCAGTTTTTTGGGAAATATGAACAATTATACCAAGTGTTAAATAAGTAAACTAGAAAGAGACCTAAATTCTGCGCAAAGTTGTTCAAGTACTTTTTTTATTTTTTTTAAAAAAAGAGTGGGAGAGAGTAGGAACGTATTTGTGGATAAATACCTATAACTTTGGCTTGGGTCAACCGATTTTAACGAAATTAGTGTCATTAGAAAGAGTGTGGACAAATTAATTTACATCTACTATAAAATATTTACATTTAGTTTTAATTGTCATAGGTAGAGGGTACTTTCGAATAGAAAAAATTAAAATTTGTTTTTCTCCAAAATGTTTAATAGAAACACCTATTTATTGTAAATTATAACGGAATTAAAATAAACTCAAAACAGATGATAAAAAGCAAGCAACATGCACAGATTCCCTGTCGTTACTACACTCGATAAAAAGGCTATACCCTCAGCATACCTTAGTTCAAGAAATCCATAGAACTTACAGTGCACTCGCTTTTCAAAGTGTAAATTTGACGATCATCTGGTTACCATCTCATATCGACATCGTCGGTAATGAAAAAGCAGACCAAGCAGCCAACCAAGCTTCTTATGTAAACAATCAATCCTCAAAAGCCCAACATATTTTAATCCGTAATAACCTAAAGCAGCCAAATTATCAGTTTTACTTTACAGACGGATCTAAAGTACAAAACAAAGTAGGATGTGCATTAATTAATATTCAAAGTGGATTTAAAAAATTATTGAAATTGGCAGCTGAATCATCGATATACACTGCTGAAATGACAGCGATTCTTCTTGCATTAAGGCATATACATATTAACGAACCCTACAGATGCATAATATTTACAGACAGTAAGAGTGTCGTTGACAGACTAACAAACGTACATAGGTCCAAACAACTAAATCATATAGAACTAGAAATTATAACTATTTACAATAAAATTACAAATTTAGGGAAAAACATTATTATATCATGGATAAAGGGACACGCGGGCATTAAGGGCAACGAAATAGCAGATAGCCTAGCCAAATCTGCCCTAGACATAGGCGGAGAAGCTCCCTTGAACTTACTCCCCTTTTCAGACATTGATATAATTAGTAAACGGCATCAAAAAGAAAAACGGCAAACATATTATCGAAACACGAGAACTGGAAATAATTACAAACAAATGCAGCCTGAAATACCCATAAAAAAGATGGTTTCATACTCTATCAAATCACCATTTCATAAGGGTTATAAACAGATTAAGATCTAATCATGCTCTTACCCCCCTTCATATGTACAAGTTGGGTCTCACGGAGTCACCTAATTGCAAGTGCGGAAAAAAAGTAACCTATTACATATTTTCCTTGAATGTTCCCACGAATCAGTAAACATTAACAAATTTTATGATAATCTTATTATATTAAAAAATTCCACTTCCCGTCAACCTGAACAATTTGATTTTCTCTAGAGATATCAATATATTAAAATCGATTTATGAACATATCAAAAACTGTAAATATAAATTGTAGCTTAAAACTAACCCTTATATTTAAGTAAATATTGTATTATAGCAGAAAAAAAAATATGGAAAAAATAATATTTATTTAAAAAAAATATATATATTTAAAATAAAAAAAAAATATATGAAAAATTAAAAAATAAAAAGGAAGATGTAAACCTCCGAGATGTTGAATCGGGTTATGTCTTAGCGCAGGAAAAAAAAATTAAAAAATAAGTTATAATTTATTAACAATTGCACGTTAGATTGTACGGATGATTGTATGTTTATTCCTCTGATTGTTAAAATTGTTTATCTTTAAATTTGTCAGGCAAATTGGCTCGGCAAGGCCATCAAACCAAAATAAAAAAAAAACCTAAAGCAAATTTTCAATTACCAGTATCAAATCTGGCAAACCCACTGAAACACAATCAAGAGTGATTCGTGAACGTAAGATCCGGCAAACTGTTGAAAAATTTCAACTTCCAACAATCTCTCGAAAAGAAAAAGCTGTCATCCGAAGATTAAGAATAGGACACATCCGATTCACACATGAATACTTGATGAAGTCCGAGCCGAAGCTCAATTGCCAAATCTGCTCAAATATATTAACTATAAAACACATCCTGATCGAGTGTCGCCGGTACGCAAATCTGCAACCTAATCTTAAGTCAAATATCAAAGAAGTTTTACACTCACCCGATCAAGTGATTAACCTAATTGGTTAAAAGACATTCAGTTGTTCAACAAAATATGACCGCTTGTTTTCCATGTACTTTACCTTTAACACTGTTGTATTATTTAGTCATAGGTTCTAAGCTTATAGGTTAATTGTAGAAATTAGTCTATCTATCTATAGCCCAAAATCTATTCATGTGTTGAATATAGGCCTTTCCCATTTGTCTTCATTTGTCTCGGTCTTCTGTTTGTCTTTTCCACATTGTATCTGCAGTGAATTGCTCAATGTCATCTTTCCATCTCAGTTGCGGTAGACCTCTTGACATTTTTGCAATATATGGTCTCCAGCGGCCAATTTCTTTATTCTATCTTCAATCCTGATATCTTTCGTTATGCCCAGCCCATTTCCATTTTAATTTCAATGCATGTTCGACAGCGTCTGTTGTTTCGGTTTTGCATCTTATCCACTCGTTACTCTTTTTATTTCTCAACGATATTCCCAACATTTGTCTTTTCGTAGCACTTTGAGTTTTCTTTATTCTATCTAAGTTGCTCTTGGTACACGTCCACGTCTGGGCATCATATGTCAGAACAGGTAGGACACATGCATTAAATACTTTCGTTCTTAAGTTTAAAGGTATTTTTTAGTTTTTGATAGCATATGAGAGTTTTCCGAAAGCAGCCCACCCCATTCTTATTCTTCTGGTTATTTCTTTAGTCTGGTTACTTTTGTCTGCTCTGATAGCTTGTCCTAAGTAAATATATTCTTGAACGTGTTCTATGTTTGTTCGACCTATGGTAATTACTGATCTGTCTTCTGTATTAGTCATTATTTTAGTTTTCTTTAGATTTAGATTCTTTATTTTTAGTCCTTTCTCAAGAGATATTTTTTCTAGGTCTGAAATCATTATTCGTAGTTGTTCCATAGTTGTTGCTATCAGGAGTACATCATCGGCGAATCTCAGATGATTTAAATATTTCCCGTTTATACAAATCCCTTTATAGTCCCAACAATTCAGGTTGAAGATTGTTTTGGAGACAGAACTGTCATCAAATTAGCTCCAATATATTAATACATCTAACGATAAAGAAAATGTCAATGCAAAGAATATTACTGTTATGCATAATCGCCGTTATAATGGTACAATTTGCGTTTGCACAGAACCCCGATCCACCAAAACCAGACCCAGCACCAGATGCGCCTAGAACAAAAAAAAATATATTTTGGATTAACATTCTGTACTGTGAATCTATTCAGCAATTAACTAGCGCTTCTTCCACTGCCCATAGTTCTATGCTGTCAAACTCTTTTTCATAGTCAACAAACGCTAGGTACATTGGAAGGTTGTATTCGTTGATCTTTTCTATCAATACTTTAAGGGTGTAAAGGTTGTCGGTTGTGCTGTACTCCTTTATAAATCCTGCCTGCTCAACTGGTTGGTATGCATCAAATTTATTGTTTAGTCTAGTTGTGGTTACCTTAGTGAGAATTTTATAGATTTGTGACAAGAGAGTTATTGGTCTATAGTTAACTAATTTTGATCTACTTTCTTTCTTATATATGAGAATTGTATTTGCTTTGTTCCACTCTGTATCTTTGGGTTGTTTTTTATCTTTTCCCCTCCTTCTGTTAACATTTCAATTACAATTTTAATCGTCTTCCGGAGCCTTAGTGCTTTTTATATCTCTAATTGCTTTTTCTATGTCTTCTCCGGTTATGGGGGTTAATATTTCAGAGTTTACCTTCATTATTTTCTTTTTTAGGTTTTGTTGAGTTGTATCTTCTTAAGTTGTATTTCTTCCTAGGTGGGACTTGATAGATCTTAAGTTTCTGTTTTCTTCTATAATCTCGATTCGTTCTTCTTGATGCCGTTTGAGATCTTGTTTAATATGTCTTTTTATTTCTCTTTCTATTTCTTAAGGGTTTTGTATTCAGTTGTATTTCTTTTATTTTCTTGTAGTAGGCTTCTCCGTTGTTGTAGCATGTCTAAAGATATGGCACTTAGTTTTAATTTTTTGTCTGATTTTGCTGGTGCTACTTCTAAGCTAGTCTTTAGAAGTTCTTCAGTTATGGTTTTGTTTAGTTAATCTAGATTTAGGTCTGTTAGCTTTAGTTCTTCAGCTGTTCTTAATTTGTTTTGGTATTGTTCTTTATTCTCCTTTAATTTTTCTGGGTGGACTTTTTTCTTAGAGTGCACATATTGTCTTCGATCTTTTTTGTGTTTAATACTTATTTTAGCCCGTATCATTCTGTGATCACTACCAGTAGATATTGAGTTTATTACTGTGACGTCTTCGAAAATGTTTTTTTTGTTTGTTAGTATGTAGTCAATTTCATTTTTAGTGTTGCCATCTAGCGACATCCACGTTCATTTCCTATGTGGCTTTTTCTTGAAGAAAGAGTTCAT